CCATTAGACGTATTTTTCAAAATGTCAGATCTTTCAGTTAATGTGCTGAACTGCATGAGCAAGAGGGGATAGAGCGCTCGTGCTCCTACTGACCTGCACACGGAGATTTCGCTGCAGCAGTGAACATCAGCAAATCAGTCTTAGACTTTAAAACTGAATGTCAGATCCTTTTAGTCTAAAATTCTCAGCTGTGTTTGCCTTGATCTTCAACACTGCAGTTTATGACTCAGGTTTTTCAGACACTGCACAGAATAAATATAGCAAAGAGCCTCTAGGTTCATGCTCCCCTGGAGTAACCAGACATCTTTGTTTTCCCAGGACGTTCTTGATGCTTGTCACCAGCTGAAGCCGTTCATCCACATGTCACCATTTTTAAACAGCTGTAAAATGAAATAACCTTTTATTTAGGGAGAAACTGCCACTAGTGCATTAATCTGTCTTTACACTTAGACCTCCTTTGGTGTAGAAACATTTTGTCTGGTGTGCATTTACACATTCATCAGCGCTATAGCTCGCAGACCTGCGCACACAGAAGTGGAATTTGCCTTTTCCCTTCCAAGTCGCTGCAGGAGGCTGAACAACAAACTCTTAAATAGACTCATGGCAGCGAATATGAGTATCTTGTCTTGTGACACAAGATACTGTAGCTGGGGAAGTCAGAAGAAGGGAGAGCGCAGATGTGAGTCAATGCCTCCAGTGAAGGGCATTAACTTCAAAGTAGTTATGAACGTATTTTTTTAAAGCAGGTCAACCGGTTCACATGTAACTGACTTGTGGGTGTTTTTCCTGAACAGCACATGTTCAATACACATGATGGTTTAAGGGTATCTTTTTTTACACCAGTACTGAGAGCAACAATACGCTGTAGTGCAACGTCAGGACTTAGATTTACGATACTAATTTAGTGCATCTTTTTCTTTGAAAATATTTTTTTTATATAAAATCAGTAAGCCTATGAGATAACAAAATGATGCATTATTATAGATTGATGTAACAGGGCAGTGTCAATAAGTACAAATGCAGTGAAATGTTCTTTGCACAGGCTCTACAATGAAGTTACTCCGGGACGTTTTGCATAAATATGCACAAATATTTTGTCATTTAACTTTGGTTAAGGACAATTAATAAAATACACAATAAATAATATACTACATACCTACAGTATGAATGCAGGTTAATTAAATGTGTTGGGTTATAAAGTAAGAACATCTCAGCATTAAGATGCAAACTTCTTTAATATCACTACAGTTAAATTCCTGTATGATAAAATGAAAAGGGGATTATGATATCAGCTTTACAACAATGAGAAGCTTGACAGAGGAAACCAGCTTTAAGCTTAGTCACTGAAATGAATGACATTCCTGTGTGGTGGGATGTCTGCTCAGACAATAGAGCTTCAGCATATCCAGAGCCTTTTGTTTAGCTTACATATATCAAAATCTTACTAATTTCAGTTGGCTGTGATTTCAGGCATTGCAAAGGAAAATGTAGCATCATGCACAGATAACTTAATGTGGTGAAGCATCTCCTGTGCAGCTCCATTTAGATTATTAACGATGCTGCAAATCACTTGTTAATATCTCTGATCTTTGAGAGGCTTGCATGTTAACACTATAGCATGCATGCAGAGGCTGTATATGGATGACATTCAGTACACTGTGTTCTGTACTTTGTGTTCCTAATCTCTCAAATAACCCACTGAAGCAGGAAATTATTTCATATGTCGCCCCCCAGTGGTCAAAAGTGATATGATACGCATATGGAGGAACTCAGGGACCTCCTGCAGACCACACAGTGTTCACAAGAACCGAACGGAGGCAGTATTTATCTAGCTCCACATAGGTAAACCTTCTTTGGTATCATGAAATCAAGAATAGAAGATTTATTTTCATGTTTTTGTCTTGCTAGCTATTCATGAGAGTCGCATAGGTCAACTATTGTGAGCACTCAAAGTATCAAAACAGGCTTTAGTCCATTTTTATCGGTTTTATGCTTTGATGATAGAAAAGACCAGTTCCTGTCTTTGGGTAGCCACCCTCTGTTAAGGAAGACACGCTGAAATGCAAATATACTTCTCTCTGAAATTCAAATGCAAAATAAACTGCTCTGAGACAAAGACCTGTGGCCTAAATTTAGGTAGAAAGCTTTTCTGGATTGTGTGTATATATACACAATACAAAAAGTTGGTCCTCTGTCAGAAGACCATACAAATACAATGGGCCTAACAGAAATTGGAATTAACTTAAACGAACAGTGTCAAGAAGGTGAAATCAACCATCAGAACCCTGACTTCAGCCTTTACCTGTACTGAGTTTATTTGCAATGCAAATAGGGTGACTAGTAAAGCAACCAAATCCTATTGTTCCTGCTTTCAATAACAACAATCTATTTGATGCAATCACACTCCCTACTAGTTGGTATCCTCTTTATATTGCATTGTATTCTTATTTATTCCGTTTTTTTGTGCTTGTGTGGGATAAAATCACGGCCTTAATCATTAAGCATTTGAAATAAAGGAAATGAGTGCGACTTCAGGATTCTCTGAAACTGATGTCCACCATTGTTGAGGATTCTTGAGCCACCTAGTGGTGATCTGAGGTTGTCTGTGTTTAATGTGGAGAACTGATAGAGGAGATAATAAACTTATTAAAATATATAATCAAAATGAATTTGTAGTTCTATTTTTCTTCTTTCGGCTGCTCCCACTGCAGATCACCTGCCTCCAACTCACCCTATCCTCTCTGTGTCCTTTCCCCATAAACCTCCTCTGTGATGTTTCTCCTCTTACCTCACAGGTCCATATTCAACATCCTTTTTTCATTATATCCACTATCCCTGCTCTACTCATCTCGACTTTGCCTCTCTAACTTTAGAATTCTTGATATTCAATGGGAAAGCCTCCATGTATCTATTTTATAAACCACTTATCCAGTTCACCATGAGGGCTGGAGCTGACTCAGGGCCACATGCAGAGTATACACTGTGCAAGTTGCCAGTCCTTCACAGGGCTGGAAAGCCCCAGTTAGTGCTGTGTTTTTAAATAGTCTAAAACAAGGTTAGGCAATTAATTTTCCTATGGACCACATGGAAAACTGGGACTGTTGTGGAAGGCCGCACACCAGTAAGCTGAACTCAGTTCTGATCAGTTTTAATTTATTTATAAAAATGTATCTTGTTATAAGGTTATAAAGAGATAAAAATGATAACTGAGCCAAGCACCTGTGGTCTAAAAGCTTAGGGGTATTATCAGTGCAATGATCTGCAGCTATACGTGTCTATTTTCTTTTACAAACAAACTGAATTGAAATGTAAGGGGTTAGGAATGTAAAATATCCCAAACACGTTCTAATATTTCAAGCTTTTATTGAAGTACAGTACTCAGGTAGATGGATTTGTGCTCGTATTTCTCCTCTGACAAGTTTATTTCAGAAAAATATGTCTGATGTAAACGTCTCAAAACTGTAGTTTGAGGAGTGATATGCACTTTAAATCCGGATAGAGTTTATCAGCGACACCCAGATTAATTTGATCTATTTTAATATCCCGACACATACTGGTTACAATACTCTCCAGCTTCCTTTGTAATGCTTCAAAAGATATGTAGGTCATAACATATCAGTCATACATAATAATCTACTGCCTGTGTGTGCTGCGGTAACTGATAAATCCCTGGGTGTGACCTTTCCCATCTGAAACCTGAGCTCCTCAGGCTGCCCAAACTTGCTGCTGTTCAAATTACTAAATTCCACCCGTCTTTATGTGTAGATGTGTCGTCCATAGACTTGCATTCATAATTCACGCCGATCGTATGGATCTACCCGACCTTACAGCTTCATTACTGTGGAAGTCTGTATGGTAATCAAAACCAGGATCAGGAGGGCAACAGAACAGCATAGGTCAAATTTCTCTGCTGATAATCAAGATCCTGATCAATCGTTCTCTGCAGCGATCGTTTATAGCGATCAGTTGTGCTACTGATGTTTGAGTTTATCACCGCAGTTAAAATTCTGTCAGTTTGAGCCAGGTGAGGAAACCATGGCGTGTTTCTGTAGTCGGCTGTTTGTGTTGTGGCTGGTGAAATCCAATCTGTCATCAGAGCTTTATACTTCTCTCTTTATCTACATGAAACTAGCCCGCTTGGGTTGCCAGGCGACCAGTCACAAAAAACAGAACCCCCCCCTTGCATGGCGCCTGAATTTGATTGGTGTTCGTCTCATCTGTCACGGCAGCCAATAGCAGCGGCAGAGAGGAGGACAGCGAGGAAGTGGCCAGGTGACAGTGAAAGAGGAGTTACTTGTTAATACGGATGGTATAAAGATGAGTTGCCATAAATAAAGCAGACATGAGCGCCTGTGTGTAGCGTTAATTCAAATGCAGTTCAGATTACAAGCGACTGTTGCACGTTTTTACACAACCCCCCCTCCAGCTCGCTACTTGAATGGAAGGAGGGGGAGGATGTTATCAGAACATGAATTTCTCAAAGCTCTGTGCTCATGTACACAGAATAGATCAAGGTGGAAATGTACAACCTTTTGCATTTGTATAGCACTGACAACCTGCACACCCTGTGTTCAGGGAAACATTTGCAATTATGTTTGCACATGTAAACTGCAAAGATCATAAAGACATTTTAGATTTCTTTTTCACTTTTGAACATTTATTAATCGGTCTTTGGTCTAATTTAAATAAATACGTGTGGAATTTATATTATTTTATTTACCTTTTAGACAGTAGTTCCAGCTTTCTTAAAAACTAGTTTGTATTGGTGTGTTTGTGTGGCAAGGTTATAGGAGCCATCCTACCAGCACAGGATGACAATGGACCTCTGGCTCTGCAAAAGAAACCCTCTGAAATATGAATGAGGAAATCCACACCTGTTTCCAGGTAACCAAGGCAGTACCGTGACGCTGACAATTAGTGTGTGTGTGTGTGTGTGTATACCTGCGTAGGCGGATGCACAAGCAGCGCAACTTCCTAGCTTTACCTGTTCAGACACTCTGTGGGGATGAAAGCAGCTGTCAGCCCTGCTGGCTTAATGAGACAGACATAATCTGACCAGGAGAAGCAGCATGACAAGGTTTGGGCCTCAGCTCTGAACAAGTTCCCTGCATTTATAATCTGCTGAGAACGTTACGCATGGAAACAGGCCAAAGTCGGCCCAACTGAGCTGAAGGTGGACGTGGAGACTCGGTGGAGGGTGGAGCGCAGAGGCATCTTCACAGGTCTTGCCCTCAAGTGTTGAGCATCTATTTCTGCAAGTATGAATCCAGTGTGGAAGGTTTATAAAAGCAAAGTGCTGAAGACTATTAATCCTGAATATGAGGAGGACACTGCCGAGGAGGTACAGAATATACATACACGTTTCTCCACATGTTACTCATTAATTTGTTTGTCAGAAACACTTTAAAGTGCAAGAAAGCTGACATAATTGTTGGCACGGAAGTCAGACAGTCAGCTGGTTTTGTTTTGCTGATCATTTCTTATTCATCACAGCGTTAGATGAGCTTGCAGGGCTGATTTGTTTTCCATGCAATGGGAACTTTAAGACAGATGTTCGGCCTGGGAACAGCAATGCTGGCCTTAATGCACGCTGGCAAGTCGACTCTGATGAAACTGTGTTTACTGACATGTGCATACAAATCTACATGCATCAAATCTACTTTTTTATTAGTTTCTGTTAGACAAATGTGGACTTAAAATGAAATCCAGATACATAAGAGCAGTCACAGCAATAATAAAACAGCTTTTAACCAAAATACAGGCAACACTGCAAGCAATATGGGATGTTTTCAGCAGTCACCGAAGGCCCTTTTGCTTGGTATCTTCTTACATAAAATCATTATTGAATCTTGGTCTGTAGTCATATTTCAGATGCCTGTGGTGACTTAAGTAAACATAAAAACATTTTATCGCAAAAAAAAAGAAGTCAGAGAAAGGACTAATAGACGATTACACTCATGTGAAGCAGAACTTTCTTAGTTTTCTTTTCTACCTTTTTAAAGCTCTCAGAACGTCTTGGAGTTACGCTGTGACCTTTTCCAAGGGTCAGACATCCGTGCTGTAAATGAAACGGTTGAAACAAGCTTCACTTTGAACACATGCAGCAGTAAAATAAGGATTGTACCCTGCATCAGTAACTGTAATTTTACTTTCTTTTTAGTGGTTTTTGTTGGATTGGACTTTTCCCACTGCTCATATTCACGGCAACACCTGCACTCGATGCAGGACTTGGTTCTCGTGAAACAGTGTTGCGTTGACCCAGATCTCCAGAGAGCTGAGAAATTCGATCCTGCACAGGAGCTGAACAAACGGATTAGTTGGCATTCCAGTGAGTGACGGGCTGACAGGCGGACGAGACAGATAGCCAGGTTCCTCACTGGCGTATTCAGATCTGCCAGCTGACTGCTTCACATTGTGGCCTCTTGAGCTGCCCGGGCCTTTGCAAGGACGACAGGGAATCCGGAGAGATAGTTTCCATCTAGATAGATATGCAGAGATGTCATCACTGCTATTTGAGCTGCCATTGCTTCACACGTTCTAGTGAAATTAGAGACTTCTAAAGCGTTTGACTATCAGTCTTCCTTATGTCAAAACATCCACTGATGTGGAAATACTACTGTTAAGTAATTAGTGAGTTGGTCAAGAGATAAAACAAGCAATTAAAACACAATGTGCAAAATGTTAAAGTTAGTTTTAATAAAGAAATATTAAACATTTTTCTATGGTGGCAATTTATTTTTAGTCTCCAGTAGTTCATATAATAGTGTCATGTGTGTTTAAGCTAGGTCTGCTTCAGCTTGCAGTACCCACAATACGCACCAGATGGCGACTGCTGTGCACAGGTTCTGTGTTGTGCATTAAACTCAGACAGTTTGTTGTGACCAGACTGGGAAACCGCTGTGTGTGGACAGGTTAATGAAATATTGTTCTGTTTACTGGTGTTGCAGGTCACAGAGGTGGAGAACGATATGAGTCCAGTGCAGGAGGATGAGGGGCCCAATGCTGTCTCCCAGCTGGCCAGGAAAGTATGTGAACCCTGGCAGCGCTTGTAAATCTTGTAGGGTATTTTCTGTCCGTTTACTAATCACACAGGCTTCACAAATACTTTATAAAATGGTTACAGATGCAGTGAGTGAAGTGAGAATATCCATGCAAAGGTTCATGCTAAGCATATGTCTAAAGATATGACAGAGGAGCGTTAGTCAAGTGATATTTGACAGCACTAAATCCCTACTTTGACCTCTGACCTTGTCAAGATGCAGGGGGCAGGAGCTAAAAGCTGGAATCGGCTATCGGCGCTCTTCAACAAAGATGATGAACACCAGCTCCTAGAGGAGACTGAGTGCCCCCCTGTCGCTGACCAGTGAGTTTTTAATCGTCGATCTTCTCACATGCATTCATGAACATTGATGTTGCTGGTGAAACAGAGCTTTACACTTTCCAACTGAGATCACACCTTTATCAGATTTTGTAACTCATAAGGTTGAAGTTTTACTTTCGTTGCACTGACCCAAAGAAAAGTTTTGGCAGAAATTGGTGTACAGACTGAACTGAAAGGGAAAAAATGAGGTTTAATAAAAACAAATAGAAGTGAAGATAATTACTGGAAGACATAAATTCTTATTTTCTGAAAATCTAGGATACTTACTGGCCAAAATCTGGCTTTTTTGTCATATTCATAAAGGAATGATTGTTGGATTAATCACTATTGAAGCCTTTCTTATAAAGTCTTTGTGTTTACATGTAATTTTGAAACTTAAGTTATTTAAAATCTAAAATCTTCGTCAGTTGTTTCATAATTTAAAGCACCTACTGCTTTGTCTAAATTCTCAGTCCGCTTGCAGCAAAGCCCGAGGAGCCTCCGCGACCCACCAGGCGCACGGGATTCTGGGATAGCTTCGCGTCCAACTGGGCAGCCAAGAAACAGGCCGAAGCTGCTGCGGCCGCCGCCGCCGCTGCTGCTGAGAACGAGGCAGCAACAGGGGAAGGTGAGGAAGGGGTGATAGAGGCTGGAGGGGCGGAAAGTCAGCAGGATGGGCAGGTCACTGAGGGAGAGCAGAGTGAAGGGGGAGGAAGGAGCAACAATAGCTTCTCCAAGTACGTCTCGCTGGGAGGAGGCAACGAGGATGCGTCTTTCAAATGGAACTTTGTTACCAGCAAGCTGGCAGAGCTGAAGACCAAGACCAATTAGAAACATGGTGGAGGAGAAAGTAAAAGAAAATAAACAACATGAGGAGGGTGGTAGATGTAGGAGGAGGGTAAATTTCGCAAAGGATATCCTGTAACTAAACTGGCGCCTCTTGAAGTCCCTCTGTATTGTCAGCTATTATACGCTCCAGAAAACGTGTGTTCACAGCCACATTACTACATGAGACATAAAAAGAAAATCAGTGTTCTTGTTTATTTATTTTTTTGTAATCTTTGGTTCCCCATTACTTAAAGGTCAGTCTATTTATGTAAGAGTAAAGAAGTATAGGTCATAGGTGACACCTAACAAAGAGAGCTTTCCATTTCTCTGCCTGCACAGAGCCAGAGGTAGTGTTTATATCCCGGACCAGTGATTGAACTCCAACCACTACTACTTATGAAAAAAACTTTTAAAGTTGCCTGTATTAAAAGTCACTATGCTAATTTAATAAATTCTGAATTATTTCTTGGAGATGAGGTGGGCACCCAGACCTGAGTTGTCTCTTTACCATCTAACCCCGCAGCACAGAGAATGCAGTAAGGCAGAATTTTGGTGACGACCACACTGGTTTAGGCAGCACACGGCAGTGTTTTGTTTTTGCAGTTGTATGACTACACTTACTTCCCTAAAGTGCTTCTTTCACCACGAACATGTGCCTCCACACCTGTCAGCAAACTTGATCTAATCTGTAGTTTAACAAAAACCGGATTAAGAGATTAGAGGCAGTGATAGCAGGATTAGACAGGGATTATCTCACTTAACCTGTTCAGAGGCCAGCGGATTATAGAAAGGTAATTTGGCAGTGTGATGTAGATACTACATAATCTTTCGAGTTTCCCTTAAACGTCAGGAATGCAAAATGTGGAGCACATTTATTTGACACGTATGCACGCCTGGTGAGATAAAGCCGGTGAAACCGATGACTTGGATTTTGTGATTGTGACTGAGACTGAAATGTGTGAGTTTTTTGACTTTTAAAATGTTGTGATTTAAAAAAAAAAATTGACTTATTATGGTATTATTTCTGTTCTTTTGTGGTTTGTGCCTTATTCCATGTTTTATTCTGCTGTTTTCGGTATATAATAATAAAGACTATTGCACTGAAATTCTTGTAAGGTATGAACACATGACTGAAAAATTGTAACTTTTGAGCAATATTGGAAAAAAATTCTGACGCGTATCATCTTCATTTGCTGATCTCTGGGATGGTTGTTCTTTGACTCTAACCTTTTTTAAAAATCTAGAACACGAAATTCTGCCTCTGGCCAGCAGGGGGTTCTCTTCACCTCTTAAATTTAGTATAGCATATATTCAACTGTCCTTTTTTTCTGCCTTTGTGTCCTTCACATTTACATCAAATCAGTCTTTTATAAACATGACAACAGCCTGATCAGATACCCTGTCAAAAATAGCCCATTTTCCTCCTCATATCCCACTTCCTTCATCTCTTTCGTGTCCTGTTTTTCACACCCACTTCCTCTCTCTTACTGTGTCATGTTTCCTCAGATAGAACAGAGCTTCCTTTTTAAATTTAGGAGTCTTTCTTGGCATTTCTATATGAATTTGGCAACACACAATAATGATGCGAAAATGATGCAAGTGAGTGTAGCCCGAACTCAACCCCATGGTTTCGTGCCATTTCCATGTGTTTATACTGTCAGTCAGATTTTATCCTGTCATAATGGGACATGGGAAATCAGGGAGTTTCACTAGCTGTGTGCAGACTTTCACATCAGCAGTCTCTGTTTGAGTCAGAAGAGATCTTTCCCCACTCGCAGCTCAGTGACAAACTCGTGTTTCTTGCATATTTAAAACAAACTCCGACTGAACATTTATTCCAAAAGGGCTGATTTTTGGGCTGATGGGCGAGGACTGCTGTCATGATGTTTGGAGGTCCATATTTTAGTTTCATGACATCAAGTCAGCAATGCTCGGTGGAAATGAGGTTTGTAGAGCATGAAAGCATCAGAAGGCGAGCAGGCAGGGCTGGCAGTTTACGCGGGGGGAGACGAGGGAGAGTGCACAGAGCCACAACTGGGTACCTAAGGGGTCTGTGATGTCTGGTAGTTTTGTTTAAAATGCATCTCGGGGAGCTCAGAAATAATGAACTGCTTATTTCCAAACCATTTTTGCTGAGATCACAAGCTGAAGTGAAAACAACAACACACAAGTACTGCATGTACTGCAGTTTTCACGAGTTCTGACTTTATTTATGTGGATATCTTCAAGAGGAAAAGGCTAAAGTGGCATAGGTTAAAGATTTTCAGTCGCTTTGGCAGTAGATTAAGTTACCAAATCTCTTCCCAGACAAAAGCTGAAAGGCTATCATTATTTAAGGTTAGCTTTGTGGTCTCTGTTGACTCCTTGGAGACTGGTTTATCAGAGCTTTCTTTCTTTAAATGTAACAACTACACACAGTAAAGCTGTCACAAAACTGATGAACAGTGAGACCAAAGAGCACTACTGATTTTACTCAAAGATGTCTGTTCACAGGTCTTAGGGATAAGGCTACTTTAATCCATACAAGCTGTTTGGTAATGCAATTTTGTCAGCCTCTGTTAGCTCTGAAAACCCAGAGTTAAAAAATATAGAAGTCTGTGCACGTTGAGTTAGAAAGAACAGATGTTTATGCACGACGACGTGCTCTTGAAAGACTTGAGGTTCATGGCTACATTGTTGCTACTTGCTAGATACACATGCATCACCCACTGGGGACACAATAAGCAACATCTGGGGTGAAAAGGTAGCCAACACAGTTCCTCAAATGACCACTTC